AATGAGAAATGTAATTGTGTTGTATACCTAAAATGTACCAATAAAAGAATTTAAGAAAAAAAAAAAAGAAGTTTCTAGGACCCAGAAAATGTGATTTGCCTTCATATTGCATTCATCAAAACAGGGATTTGCAATCACAAAACAGGATTTGTAGCCTCAGTGGCTGGGATAGCATTTGACATATGGGTGATGGAGCATGGAGCAATGAAGTGACTTTCTCAGAGTTGCCTACTGGATGATGGCAGAGTTAGAATGAGAATCAGGTCTCTGCTCAAAGTCGTCGCAGTCTAATACATCATCCAGTACTTCCTCCCTATGTCTGTCTACCACCTTGATATTAGATAAGGGCAGGAATTATTGCCTTTTGCAGTTATTTGGGTTGCTCTATGTGAAGATAGCTTAAACTGTTTTCTGGGAACCGGGAAAATGAGACTGTGAATTACAATTCTGCTGTTAACTTATGAAACTTCTTCTACTACTTGGAGAGTCTATAAAAGCTTGAATGAGGATAATGTTTGGCAAGGGAGAGGTAGAGAGCCCTGCTATCTACAGAAAATCATTTGTGTCTCTTTGAGTTTGCAAAATCAGCTTGAGAAGAAGAAAAACACTATAACTGTGATTGATTCAGGGAGACAGTGGTAATCATATTTTCCTGAACAACTTCACTGGCAGCAAGAAGCCAGAATTAATATGCCTTGGTGGTACTAATTCTAGAGAATGAAGAGATGTGGAATTCTAAGCAGCTTCATCCTTGGAAGCAACATTTTGAAGTCCTTCCAGGTGTACTGCTTGTCTGCAGAGCATAATAGTTTTTCCTTCTCACATGCAGAAGAACTGTCATTCTTTTGGTGCAAAAATGTTAAATCTTTCTGCACATCTGCATCTAAGCATGCACACAGGCCCACTCATTAGGAAAGACTGAAAATTTGTATTCAAAGTCATCAAAGTACAGTTTTCAAAAAGTTAAAAATATAATTTTTATAAAAATATATAATGATAACATGTTAAAGATTTATTTAATTCAACGATGAGAAGATAGGCAAGATGGCAAAACTGGTACAAAGGCAGATAAAGAAATTAATGCAACAATGGTGTGATCATTAATTCCAATTTGTCAACTTCATAGGATTAAGGAAGGTCTAGTAGATTAATAAAGCATCCTCCTAGGTGTGTCTGGGTGGGCTAAGGAAGAGTGACTTTGGGTACTATATGTGGTCTCTGGCCTGTTTTTCTCAGAGACTCTTCCCCTGCTCTGTTCCCCAACTGCAGCTCTCTTCCACCATACCATTCCACCATGATGTTCCTGCCTTGGAGACAGTTATGGACTGAATCTCCCCAAACTGTGAGCTAAATTAAACCTTTTTTCCTTTAAGTTGTGTGTCAGGCATTGTGTTCAGCAACTGTAATGCTGACTAATACACATAGGCTGTGGGAAAATATACTGAAATAAAATTGCTAAATTCTATGCAAAATTAGTTCATGTTCTGCCAGCCAATAAAACTATAGGCATAGAATTAGCTTCTTTGCTGGACATAAATCATTTTTATCTCTACTAGACAAAAATCATCTGTGCAGCCTCTCAGTTTTCTACAAGTCAACATCTAACTTTACCACATCTAGGACTAAGTAACAATAGTCAAAGTTATATCACCATAAAGTCAGATAGTCTGTTAGACATATAAAAGATATGTAGTTTTTATTTGCCTGGTTTCCACATTTTGGAAAATTTTTCCTAACAGAAGGATCACAAGAAGAAACATGATATGCCTACTGGTATTCCAAGATACCTAAAACATACATCTTGGTGACAAAGGGAAAAGGAGCTGGTGGGGAAAGAAGGAAAATGGATCCAAGCTCTAGAGGTTATTCATAAAGTAGTCTCTGATTGAGATTTCTCCTGTTAATAAAACAATAAATCCTGCCTTGGCATTTTGACCACAAGTCTTCCTAAAAGAGAGCTAAATGCTCTTCTTCACATACGTCTCTTCATGTGTGTCATCTGCCAATTAAGGTCTATAGATTACAAGGGTATTTCATCAGGTTATCTGGTTTCCTCATTCAGTACATTTCATGTCACTCATTTCTTCATATCCCAGGCACTGCGTTAGGTGGTGGGGATATAACAGAATAAAGAAACATGTTTTCTGCACCACAGAATTCACACTCTAGCCATGGCTGAGATAAACAAGAAAAGAGCAAATCAATACACATAATAATAACGGATTCTGAGAATATCATTCTATGATAGAAAGAAGTAACAGGGGCCAGTTTTGAGGAGTTTGTTCACCTCAACCCTTCTGAAGAGGGAGCACGTTTAAACTGAGGACTGAGGGGTAAGAAGGTGCCAGCCATGAGGGTCGGGTATTTCAGGTACTGGGAACCATGAAGGCACAGACCATGCTGCTGAAGTGCCTTACATTGTAGAATCTATGTGAAGTCCAGAGAGTATGAAGGAAGGAATAAGAGAGAGAGAGTAATATAAAAAGATATTAGATAGGTGGACAAAGGCAAAATTGTGAAAGTCTCTGCAGTAAGAAATTTTGAATTTGTTCTAACACAAACAGAAAGCCATTAAAGTCTGTTGTTTGTTTGTTTGCTGCAGTTGAGCATCTCAATTCGAATTTTAGATGATCACTTAAGGCTGTAGGTAAAATGATCATTCATGGAGAATGGATTATAGAAGCAAGGTTGAAAATGGGGAAACCACTTGAAAGTTCACTGCAGTAGCTCAGGCAAGATATGAAACAGCCTAAACCAATGTGAAGACTGTAGAGAAGATGAATAGTGGATGATCTGGGGATGAATAGACAGAAGATGAATAGTGAAGTACCTTGGAGGTAGGAACTGTGCTGTTGAATTTGGAGGATATGAAAAAAGAAAAGAAAAAATGACTGCTGGCTTATTTAACTAGTGATAGATAGTAGCACAGTTTATTAGATGAATAAGATAGTGGTTCAGAGAATGAAAGGAGAAAGAATTGAGATGATCTGGGCAGGAAGTAATCAAGAATTCCACTTTGGACTTATTAAACTTTCCAGATCATGCAGAATATGACATATTCGGATATCAAGTAAACAGTTGGATATGAGTCAGGAATTTAAGGAAGAGATCCAGGCTTTAGGTATCCCTTGGAAGTCTCAGCAAGTGAATATATAAGTTTCTGAGAATAGATGAAGTCCTCAAAGGCAAAAGTGCAGACAAGAAGGCCCAAGCCTTAGAGACATATGTTAATGTGCCACAGTAAATTAACAGTACAAAAGGCTCAACATTTCTATGTCTCTTTTTATTGAAACCATCTGCCCATGTCATGAGTTAGTCTATTTTCACTGGGGGCCATTCTTAGAGACTGTCATCTTAGCCTCCTTAGCCACCTTAGCCTCATTAGGTGTAATGACAGTCAGGTGATTGCAACTACGTAAATTTTGGAAATGTTCTCCATTTCCAACTCAATATTGCTGAACTCTTAAAAGTAACACATAAATAATACTTTTCTTATCTTTGGGCTTCCAAACACTTATTTGGAAACCTCTTCATTGTTTATCAAGAGTTCTCTTTAAAAAAAAAAAAGAGGTAGGAAATGTGAGGATACCAGGCAAAAGAGTGGAGGGGAACCCTTTCCTTACCTCTTCTTCTTCAAGTAGAATGAGCCGAACCACAACAATGTGAATTGCATTTCCAATGCTTGGGTTATGAAACAACCCAGTGACCTGGGATCAGAAATAGAAAACCATTAACTCTCCATGAACAAATAATATATATCCATGCCAGAGGGGAAAAACAGCACTGTAATGCACTTAAATAAACATGACGTTATAGGTCACAAATTCTTGGCATAGTACAAAGAAGAGTAAGATATGCCCATAGCTCAATCCAATTTATGATATTTATTTAAAGATAACCTTTCAGGGTGATTGATTGGCTGTGTGTTTGAGATATTTATGCCTTTCTTTTCTTTGACCTTTTCCCCAATCCATTTTCAGTCATTCGAGTGAATATCTTTCCCCATCTCAACAGGGCAGATGCTCTCTCTGGGAAGGCAGAACACATCAATAGTGCAAAGAAGCTTAAAAATTAAGGACTGCAGTACAATTTCATTCCAATTTTCACTCTGTATTGAGGAAATCATATTCTAGCTCTTTTTTTAATCTCAGATTATCATTTATATATCAACCTAAGCAATCAGTGAGACAAGGTCATATTAAAAGGACTGAGTCACTTGGTAAATACCTGATAGAATTATGCAAATGATGAATCACAACTTTTCCCAGGGTATGCATTTTTAAGAGAAAGACTAATTTGTCCTGAATTTCCATCCTCATTGACAGACAGAGAACAGACTCATTTATATGGGAAGAAGGACATTTCTAATAACTGTTCACCAGTCATCCCTCCATCCCCCAAAGTCTGGCACACCATGTTCATGATGGTGAGGATGTAGGACTCCAAGTTCTCACTCCCATGATATTCAATCATCTTCGTGTCAGCCACCACCAGTGTCTCCACCCATCTCTCCTTGCTGATGGAACGCCGAGAAAGGCTTCGGCTTGGCAAGGCATTGTTCCTCTCCCACTTCTCTCGCCGAAGCTCTTGCTTCTTGTAGGTCCCAAGACTGTCTGAACATTAAGCAGAGGATAGTGGGCTTATTCTACACATATGTGTTACACATGATACATTTAAGTTTGTGACAATGCAAGGCTGAAAGTATAATTTATGTTTAATAATATATGAGTGCACTGTTCTTATATATACAACTGAAATACAAGAGATCAATTTAAATGTGAACAAAATGATTTTAATCAAAATTTCAAAAAATATTTCTTTAAAAATAATTATGATAAAAAATAATTATGATCTATTTCATTAAGTAGATCTTCAACTTTTAAAAAAGATATTTTAAACAAGGATGAGAGCTTTCACTTTCTTCTCCAAGTTATTCAGTGCTTACCATGGGCAAGGCAGTATACCTGGGTTCTAAATGCCAAACCATTTGTCTTCATGAATATTTGAAATACATATTTCTCTCTCCATTTTGAAAATGTAGAAATTAATCCACAAAGTGACTGGTTAGATAACTTCCTCAGAGTCACATCGCCCATTCAGTCACATAGCCCATTCAGAAACCCAGGATTGTCTTTGCCCTGGATTAATGCATTTTTCATATGCACCACACTGTCTCCTGCAGTGCCCATGGAGAAAACAATGTATGAAACTAGAAAACATGGAAGCTAGAAAACTATGATAGGTCCAGAGCATCTTGCCTTAAGAAAGCAAAAAAGAGCTTCAAATGATCCAAAGGAGACTAAATGATCGAGTCAAGTAACTGGTCTGTGTGTGAAGAAAGTTTGATAAGTGAGGATCATGGTTGGGGAAGCAAAATCCAGAAGAAGCTACAGAATCATGGGAAGAAAATAAAAGAAACTGCACAGAATCATTCTCAAAATCCCACAATACTATATTTATGAAGCATGTCCTAACTTGAAAGTGGTCTATGGGAAACCAAAATGGAATAAACTGCTACTTCACCCATTTGGAAATAAATGCTTCCTCCCAGTAGTGGTCAAGTTTGAAAAGCTGGGTAATTTTCTCAAAGTCTCATAGTAAACAAAGAGCGTGGATCCAGCCAAGTCTTTCTGTTTCTACTGGAGCAAACAGGAACATTTACACACAAGGCTTTACGGAAAGATTTTACTCTACCCTTCTACAAAAAGTGAAAAAAAGCTCTTGTCTTTGTAAAACAGCTCATCTAACTGTGGATAATATAAGATGAACACGTGAAAAACATCACTATCAAGTTTCCATAAGAGAGAAATATGAGTTCTATTGTTGACAGTGCCAGAAATTCAGCAGAAATTGCAGAATTTAAACCAGGCCCTGGTGGGACACAGGGTGTCCCTGATGGGGAAGAGAGGGTTGCATTCATCTGTGTTTATTCTTTTGAGTCTTGATGAAGTTGTCCGAGATTTGACAGAGTTGTTTCTGCTAAGCAATTCTAGGAAGTAAAAGAAGCCAACCCTACATATTTATCTCCAAAAACCTGAAAAACAAGCCTGTTCATACTTCAGAGCAGGTGAGGAATCAACCCTTCTGGTAAGCTAGTAGTATATCCTCAGCCCCCCCCCCCACACACACACTTTGTTCAGAGACCCTCCTCTGAGCTGCATGGCTCTGACTTTGCCTTGAGCAGACTTCAGACTGCTTGGTTTCCTGGGACATGAGGCTCTCCAGTTTGCCTCTAAGCAGCTCTAACCTCTAAGCAGCCACAGGCCATTTTCTTTAGCCTCCTCCCCAGCCTGGCAACAGTGACATCCAACAAATGTCTGATGCACATATGAAGGAAGAAATGAAGATGACTTGGAACTTAGTTATGAACTGCAAAAAAGGAAAATTTGCAAGAGCTGTCTATTTTTCCTATGTGATGACTTGTTTCAATTATAGAATTCTCCACACTGAAACTGTGAAATATTTGCTTCAAGGGAAAAAGATCCTGCCAAATGGGCAGTTTAAATAAGGACAATTTGCAGTGCTGATCAAGGGCTGGCTTTCCTATCCCTAAATCTATGTCCAGTATCAGCTCAGATGTCCAGGATAGCCCTGCACACTAAAACAGAGGTCCTAAAGGTCTACAAGAAATAAAATTTACTGTGTATTTTTCTTTCTCAAAATTCATCAGGTGGTTCCTCACAAAGCTCTCTCATTTGAAGCCTTCACAAGTAGCACAGCCTATGCCTATAACTGATCCCTCAACTCTTGCTTCTCCACAGACAGACGTGGATTGCACCTTGACAAAATTGCACAGAGGACACTGGTGCAGTGCCAGGGAGCAAGTGAACCCAGACAGTGGTAGACTTTGGAAATTACAAAGTTTCCTGCAAATCCAGGGGTGGTTTTCAGCATGTCAATAGGTTCCAGCATGGACAATGAACTGCCTCTCCTGGTAAGAGAATTGCTCAAGGTTCTGTCTCCTACTCTAACTCCACCCTTGTCTCTTCTGTTGCCATATACCAGATTTCCAATAGAAAGGAAGGATTTTTACCCATTTTGGTCAAAAGAGACCACTCATTGGAAACTGGGTGCTAATTAGATCTGCTACCTGGTTTAAGGTTCAATTTCACTCCATATGACCCTTTCAAGGCAATTTTTTCCAGTCCATATTCTGCAGCTTCCAGAAAAGTGAGACCCAGCACCACTTCTACTACCTTCAGGCAGGAAGTTTGCAAAAATACAACCATTCAGCAGCAATACAGCAACACAATGACAGCCAGCTGTGATGGAACGCTTACCAAGAGCCCAGCCTATGCTAGCCACATTTTGGAGCCAATTATTTATAATTTAATTGTTATAGTGGTGATATGAGACAAGTTTTATTATTACCACTTTAAAAAAAAACAAAAAAATGAGACAATTTCCTGCTTTTCCTTTATAATACAGATAAATATTACTCTTAGAAGTTGTCCTGACTCACAGGTAGAAGCTGGAGAGATGGCACCAGGAAAAAGGAGACCATCTAAGGCTTGCAAGGTCTGGCTTCCTGCTACCCCAACCCACTGTTGACAACTGTTAATTCCCCATCCCCATGGGCCTGACCTGAACCACTAGTGAACGGAGCTGCTTGCAAGTCCTTCGACCTTGGACAAATGTTCTCATCTCTTCCTTTATCTAATGAGGAAACAAACCTGAATTCCTATTTCAGTATTTACTTTAGTCATGGAAACTGTTCTTCAAACAAAGAATATACAGAAAATAAGGAAAAGAAAGAACCCCACAGCTGCTGTGACCACTGGAGTGTGGCAGATGGTCCCAAGAGGGATTCAAAAAGTTTTGGATGCAAAAATTTAAAAATAAAGCTCTTTTCTTTAAATACATTTCAGAGGGTCTACCCTGCTCTAGTGTTCTCTGAGTTGAACAAACACAACTTCTCACTGCCTTCAGATAACTGTCAAGAGTTTGCTGCTAACACACCAGATTCCCTTCTTGCCAGGCAAAGCACTGTGCCTTTTCCCAGCAGCTGAATGACAATGTTGGTATATGTTTCCGATAACAACAATAGTGAAGCAGCCAAAGGAATCAGTTTCTTCAGGTCAATTTTAGGGAAAGTTGGGAGTACCTCAGCCAGAAAGTTTATTTTCATTCCAAAAAGAGTTTTCTTCCTTTACCGTGAACCCCAAATATTTTCACACTTAGGTAGTAGACTGTCCCATTCTCAAAACTGGCCACTGTTTAAATGGATACAGCTGTTTTTAGAGATAAACAAATGAAGCAACAGGAGTCTAAGAACTGACAAGTAGAAAAGCTTCTCCTACTCTCTGAGCACTCAACCGTGAACTCTCCATTGCCTAAAGTTTTCATTTTTGAAAACTCTTTTGAGTTTACTCTTTCACAGTTATCTTTCATGTTAGGTATGTAAAGTCTGCAGCCTCCAAGTGGCAAATTTGGCACACTATATACAAACTTCTCTTTCTTTCTGTTTTTGTTTGGCTTCGTGGTAGTACTAGGGATTGAACACAAGGGCACATCAATTACTCAATTCATTAAGATATATATATATATATATTAATATTACAGCTCTTTCTAACAGTAATTTCATACAAATATAACTTGTTGTAGGCCTACTTTTTATAAAGACAGTAATTGTATTCATCAGGTTTCAAAATGTTCTGATTTTTTCCTAGCATATATGGCACTTCTCTACCCAGTATTGACGCCAAAATGGGTACATTCATTTAGTTTTCCTTTGGGGGATAGTTTTTGTTGGTTCTTTGATTTTATTTAGTTTCTAGTTCACCTTTTACCAAGAAAGACACTTCTCAGAGTTACAGCTTTATGCAAGTATCTGTTTTTAGCTCTCCACCTTCTATGGGTTCAGAAACTTAGAGAGACCTGCTCTACTATCTGTATTTAAAGAAAAGAGCTTTATTTTTAAATTTGTGCATCCAAAACTTTTAAAAGGAAAAAGGTAGGGGTTTTGGCAAAATATATAGTCTATAATATTTTTTCCAGAGTAGAATTAGGTTTCATTGTATTTACAAAATAGTGTATAATGGTGTAAAAATTTTTCTGTAAAGTAGGAAATGCTATAGAGTGTATAGTTTTCTGTTGTACTATAAGAATTTGTTGTCTAAATAGTCTAAAGGTACTAAACACTTCGTTTTTTCTTAGGACAAAAGAATTTAGGGCAGGAAATGCTCAGGAGACATACTTTGTAAGCCTGGGAGACTTTATTCATTTGCCTTCATGGTTTACTTCTCTTTTGTAACAAGTACCAAAAAGAGAGACTCTGCAGTTTGCTTTCTCCTGGTAAAGGTCAGAATGATATAATTTTTGTTATGAATCAAAACAGGATTTTATCTATTAACAAAAGTAGCGAACAGGATGGATTTCTACTGTTAATTCTCTTACCTCAAAGATGTTTCATTTAGTTTTCTTCTGCCTGGATCAGTTCACAGGTTTGGAAAGCATTTCCTTGAGAGAGAAGATTTACAAGGGGGAACTGGATTGTGACTTATTCATCTGTGTGACTCAAGACTCCACAGAAACCCTGGAGGCTTTTAAACATGCACTAAGTGTTCATTGAATGAGTACATGGATTCACTTACTATTTTGTTTGTAGGGATGG